CCTGCATTTGGTGGTTATCAGTGTATTACAAAAGTACAAAACAGATTTCAGTACTTCAATAGGTTGGTATATTAACATTATATCAGTTAATGAAATTACGGTATTTAACTGTATATTTAAGTTAAAACCGTAAAACCTAAAACGTCGCTACCATATTTTTTACAGTAAAATTCCGGCAACCACAGCTGCCGGTTTTTTATCGTAAATTTTACGGAATTTTTTTTTACAGTGTTAAGTCTAATTTCTGTTCACCACTATAGAAGTTTACAGAACTTTGGGCCAGTTTTACCAACAGCTTGCGCCAGCGCAAACCGTCTTTTGGTGTTAAAATAGTACTGTCAGGATTATCATTATGGAAATCAGATGTTGCGTTGGTGTTCTTTAATGTGAACCTTGTGTAACACCCCTGTGGACTGTTTGTTGTGGTTTCTTCCCCTTTTGTTGGTTTAGCCCGTTCAATCATTAGTTAATTATCCTCAGTGTGCTCACCTGTCTGCCCCTCGTTATCTGCCCTATAAGTTCCTGTCTCGTGTATTCTAGTATGGTCGGTTATTGTGAATGTTACCCTGAGTGTGTGTGTGTCTCATCTACCCGTATCTGCCTTGTTGTCTCTACATTAAACATCCTTATTTGAATCCTTGTCGTCCTCGTCATCCTGCCTGCCTCCACACACCTTGACCGTGACACCTTGCCAGTAAATCACACGCAGAATTATTTTCCCCTCCCATCGGCGCTTTTATGGAATTGCGCTCTAATGCTAATTTGCCCTGTTTAGTAAATCTGGCCCTATGACTTTTGTTTCTGAGAATCCTGGAAATGTGAAAAGGGTCCATTATCAGTAATGCTATGAGAATTTACAAATGATCTTTGGTGAAATGCAGAAATTAAATGGAGCATGTGAGTTGTACCTGCTGTTGTCGGTGAGGTTGCTGGCAGGTTTCTCCTCTGCATAGCTGTGCTCAGCTGACCTGCGGCCTCTGAAGTGGTACGACAGGGCGTTGAACTGACCTTTAGTACGGCAGTCTGCAGGTGCAAGAAATTCAGCCTTTATTTGAAGCAGAAAAAAACAGCTGTACAAAAGACTAGACAGCTTATACTATGGTCATTTACAGCACTGACAAATTAAAGTGGTCAATGATTGCAAAATTTGACTGGACATTTGACTGGATTAGTTGATTTATCTATAGAACATTAGATGTAGCATTTTGAAGTAAAATAATGCAGTTAGATCGCATTTATTTGAATTAATTAGGTAGAGAATTAGCATGAGCCAATTACCTGCGTCTGTGCAGCATTGTACAGTGAAGCTGTGAGTTTAATTACTTCAGAAACAGAAATGCTTATAATGTAGTGGTTTCGTGTGTGCTTGAGTGTCTGTGTGTGCTATGAATGATGAAGGGAGCTTATTAATATAGAACAGTGTTTTAGCTACCTGTGCATTACAGAGTTTTAATAGACACCTTCCAGCCAATCAGAGTATTCAGATAGACTATGGTATAAATATTATTTAAATCTTACACAATAAAAAATGAAACAAAACAATTAAATATTAATGAAGAGGAATATGAAAATGAAGAAAAGATAGAGCACAAATGTCAAAGACATTCTGTAAAAAACATACAATCACAAAAGAATAAATAATTCAGTGTATATGTGCATATACAAGCAAGTCTAGCTAAAATTATTCAAATCATTTCAAAGGATTTTTAACATAGAATAAATTAAAAGCAACACAAAACGTATTATAAGGCCTTAGTGAGAATACTGCAGTTGAAAACAGTGATTTGATGCTGATTATGCTGTTTACGTTGGGTTTTGAATGCCTTTTCTACTTAAATAATTGGGTGTCAAAATTCAAATACATGTTTCTATCCTAGATTTAAAATAAACAGAAATGTTTCTTGAGCAGCAAATCAGCATATTAGAATGATTTCTGAAGATCATGTGACACTGAAGACTGGCGTAATGATGCTGAAAATTCACAATTACATTTTAACATACATATTCACATAGAAAACAGTTGTAATAGTATTTCACAATATTGCTGTTTTAATCTTTTTTTTATATGTATATAAAATAAATGCATCCTTGGTGAGCATAAGAGATGTCTTTGAAAAACATGAAAAGTCTTAAACATTCCCAACTGACTGGTAGAATATAAGATGTGAGTCATGGTAAACGAGTCTCATACCTTCACAGCAGTCCTGCCACATACGGAGGTCAAGCTTTGGTAAATCGTCACAGCTTCCATAACCGTGAGGGAATTTAGCCACGCTAAAGACATCTGACTGGATTCGGGTGATGTTGTCACTATTGTCACACAGCACCCGGGCGAGAGACGTCTGCTTCAGTTGGGTCAACTGAGCAGGGCTAAAGGACCCAGGGTTCTCATACCAAAACCTATAATTACATAAAGTGAAGTTGATTCATTGATTTAACCATGTCTGGATCATGATTAAAATGCAGTGGTTGCCTCTAATTTCAAATGTCTACAGATAATTTTGTTTAAGACCAGTTTGCTTGTTATAGAGCAAATAATATGGAAGACAAATAATGACAAATGTCTTTGGAACAAAAAAGCACGTTGAATTGCACTAACTGAAAAAATAATGCATTGCATTAACAGTGCTTGCATTTTTAGTGGCTGAAATCCAACATGGCTGTATATTTAAGCTGTGAATATTTCAATTCAAAACATTTCAGACACATTTTCATGATTAAAAATTCAATAATTCATATTCACCTTCTAGAGTTCACTTCCAAAATATTCAATCTGTTTAAAAATACGATGTATAATATTTGACAGGCAATTTTCGGTCCATTTTATTTCACTTTACAAATTCG